AATTATTCTACTTTGGATCCAATTAAATGGACTGTAAACGTAATTTTAATTAACTCTTCATGCAAACATGGTGATGGCCGATTCACAACAGTACCTTTGAAACTTTAATCTGATCAATATCATGTGTAACATACAGGGTCTCCCACGAAACGTGACAGTTGGTGAATAGTTTTAAATGTCTTCTTCCATAATTAACTACAGTGCAGTGGTTTGAAACCAAAAGAATAAAAAAAATATCGTATGGCAGTCATCAAAGTAAAATATTATTTAAGCAAGAGCTAATTTTTGCTAAATAAATTACAGGATGTATTCACTATCCAAAACATTATATGTAAGAAGACATTTAAAACTGTCATGTTTCGTGGGACACCCTGTATTATAATATATTGTTAAAAACTGTTTTTTTTTCTGATAATTCCAATATGTTTTCCAGCGAAAGAAATTTATTTAAATTAATCAGTTTTCGAAATTGAAAACATTGATATCTAATTCATACTTGATTAGACAAACCTTTAAAGGGTACCGTTGTAAATCAGACATTGCCATCTTTGCGCGTAGAGGATCACAATTAATTTTCAATTCTTACATTTTTTCAACGAATTTTCTCCTTTCAGAAAAAAACCTTGATTTTGAATTGATATTTGTTGGATCTGCAACGGAGAATTGTAAAATGAAGAATTATTTCTAGTTCAATAATCAATCTTGCTGGATTATATATGATTATATAGTATCTGACTTAATCTTGCGAGTTTTCTAAATCCTCATAGATTATTTAAACCTAATCTGTTTCCAGGATATATAAGAGACAAGAGAAGAAGACTGGAAACTCGTTTTACACTAGCTAGAGAACCCAGCATTGCCCCACGCACCTGTGCCCCTTTAGTAAAAGTAAATTCATCCTATATAAAGCATAAAGTCTGACCACGTCAACCTTGATGCACCTGCTAGTCCTGTCCATAGAGCCAGGTAAAGTACAAACTGGAACCGGAAAGGTTGACCCGGCTTGGAAATTCAAATGTACTTCGGCGACCCAGGGTACCCATAGTTTATCTTGCCTTGCCGTTTACCCGTTCTTGGTCGTTAATTATGATTAAAACTATGCTTAGAACATTCCCATGGGCCTCTCGAGTTCCCCAATACAAATTTGATGCAAATCGATCAATGTGTTCCTTATTTATGATCGGACATCCACACAAACAAACAAACAGATATTACAATTTATATAGCTTTATAATATAACCAGGGGCGTAGTTAGGTTTTTTTATGAAGGTACTCAACCGTAATCCTGTAAATCAGATTTCACGTTTTAGAAAAAGAAAAGAAGAACGACAAATTTTTATCACGAAGATCATATAGAGAGCGCTTTTGAAATTTTTGATGAAAAACTATTTTATTTTATTTGGCTGGTGCGATTTTCTCTGCGTTTAAAAAAAAATTCTACCCTAATTAAAATTCCTTTATTCCTAAAAAAATAGGAAAGTTTATGTATATAATTTGACCTGTCACCTTTACCAGTAATTTGACCTTTACGAGTTACACACCGTTCGTATTTCTTTAATTTCTATCATTAAATAATTACAGCTGAATCGATTTGGCTTAATTTTATCACCTTGTATATAATTACTTGCTCGGGAACCCGGCGCTATACCCAGAGACGGCGATTTAAAAAATTTAAGAAAATACGACTAAGGTCTAAGCTGTAGTTGGACCTTATTTACGGGCTTGAGCTTTCGGATTCAAGCTGAATCTTATTTTCCACAGAGTTGAGTTCAAAAAACTTGTTTAATTTTCTATTTTGCGGATTTTCATGGAAGGAACTGGCGCATTCCGGGTTTTTATAAGAACAAGAATGGAGCCATATTCTCCACTGAAACCAATCAAGGTTGGTTTTATTTCATTGGGACTAACTCCTAATTTGAGTCTAAGATCTTGCAGTTGTAAATCACGTGACACAAGTTGTCGTCAGAGTTGAGTCTTATATTGAATCATAGTTAATCCCGCCGTTTTATCTGCATATTTACAGGGAAACTAAATACTCGCTATACAAGTCAACTTACTCAATTTAGAATCCCAAATCCGGGATGAGAACATTTCCGTGGCTCTCCCAAGTTACCCAATTAAAATTTGAGGCAAATCGGTCCGGGGTTTCCTGATTTATGTTCGGAGAAAAAACAGAGATTACAGCATAATATATGTATATTTATTTTTGCCTCATGAAAAGTGCAGTTCAAAATGTTTTCTCTATATTATTTCTTTTAATATTTGTTATTAAAAAGAATAACTGCAATAATAATACAAAAAAGTTTATCGTAGAAAAAGTGTCAATCAAGGAGCGTTCTGAATTTCTATTTCTAAATTAACTAACTTATATAAACTATAGCGTATTAACCCTATAAAGGCTTGGGAATCTGAATCTATGTATAGCCGGGGGGGGGGGGGGGGGGCGTCCCACGATTCCCCCTAAGAAAAAAGGCCTTAGAGAAAATGTATAGGGTTGAAATGCTTGTTCATAACCTAATTTTTCAAGGCCAGCTCATTGAAAAAAATTAGACCGATAATTTTAATAGTTTTGGTGTTAAGGGGGGACGATCCACGCTTCCCCTCGCAAAAAAAAACCGTAGAGAATAGCGTATAGAGTTGAAATACATGTTCATAGCCTAATTTTTCAAGACCAGGTCATTGAAAAAAAATTAGGCCGATAATTTTAATAGTTTGGGTGCTAGGGAGGGTTGAACAAAAATAAATAAAACATACGAAATTATCAAACAAAAATTTTTCAGGGGCTTTTCAAAAATATAATATTTAGACCTGTATTTTCAGACACAAAAAAGTGACGGGCTATTTGAGATTTTTTCTTTACACAGATCGGACGTTTTACCGCCATGTACCCTACCCTATGCATTTATAAAAAATATTCACGGTGATAGTGTCAAAAATGAGAGTGCTAGGACAAAAAAATGGGAGGGGGCGTCGAACGCCCCCCCCCCACATTCTGTTTAGGGTTCTAACTATCATTCGCTCTAACTGAACGCTAAATCAAAGTTCATTAATAGTTTTAAGAATTTGAAGGGCAAGCTGAAGAACAATGGGATGCTATAAACCAAGATGAATATTTTGTAATGCATAAGGCAGAATTTTGAACTGTAAACCCCCCCGGTCGATATTTCATAAAACAATTTGAAACATAGCCAATTACTTTTTTATTACTTGACAGATTTTCAGTCTAAATAATCTGACTTTTTGCCACAAACCTAAATTTTCTAATCCCTGTATCTTTTTAAACCAATTTGTTAGACCTTTGATATTTTTAATTTTTAATGTTTCAGATCCAATAGTTTAACCATTGAATGTCAAAGGTGTACACCATGAGGTTGCTAAGGTATAGAGATTAGAAAATTCAAGCTTCTGTCAAAAACTCAATTTTTTAAGTTGAATATACCAATGCATGCTCAACTGAATATTCGCGGGCCCTGGAGTTAATTTAATAAAATTATGAATATTGATAACTCTAATATCCAAACGTTTACGACAGGGCAGTGTGTTGAAAAGTTGAGCTATAGATCTAAAATTTAGATGTTTGAAAAGCCCTTGAAAAATAAAGATTACATTTTTAGCATTTTTCCGATGTCCCTTTTAAACCTACCCAGCACCTAACTATTCAAGTTTGCTATCTAAATTTTTGAAATCAAGTTGACCACATGCATCCCACTCTCCTATATCAACTTTTGGGACAAAATAATGAGGGAAAGGGAGTGAAAAAGCCCCCCCCCAAAAAAAAAAAAAAAATAGTCCAATCTGGAGAGGGTTAAGAAATGCTGTAATTATTCTAATCTAAATGACTCTCTTTCTTTCTATCTATCAGTCTATCTATCTAGCTATCTGAGTGCACAATATCCAGACTGCTATCTTGAAAATTTGCAATAGTTTTCAAGATTTGGTCGACTTTAAAGTGTCGCAATATTCTCATCAGTTTTTGTGTAAAAGCTTGCAACCATTGTATCACTGTGAGTGATAGCTTGCTCATACACAGACCTGTACAGTTAAATCCAAGGTTAGCTACTCTGGCTCCACTACAATGTACGGGAAATGTCGTCTTTACAGCAATTTTCTCAGATTTTATCAGCTGACCAGCTCACAAACAACGTTCTAACTTCTTCCGCCACAATAAGCAGACATTTTCCGTGCATTGGAGCAGGAGCACATCAAGAATATTTTTCCTTAATAACCAATATTTGTCAAATCCGATTGTAATGACAGATCGTGCAGAGTCCTAGTTGACAATTTTAAATGTTCTAAATCTTTAGAAATGTGTGACCTAAAAGCTCGAAACTTAAGACGGAGTATCATAATGAAACCCAGTATTGGAAACCCGGTTTCATGAATGGGGTCAGGCAATTTTGTAGATATCAATATATTTGTTAAGAAATATTATTTTATCTAGTTTCTTCACATTCTCTTTTGTTTTCTAATTTCTTAAATTAAAATCTACGCAAATGTATACACCTCGAAAAGGAAACTTGGAGGTTTCGTTCAACGACACTCTCTTAAGTTTCATGCTATGTACCTGCTAGATTCCGAGAGATGTACAGTACACTGTACAGCAAATCTACTAAAAGTTTATGTACAGAACTAAACTGTACATTGCTGTTTTTAGCTACATAGGGATCTAAAACTTTCAAAATCAAGAAAAAAGGAAAATTTCAAAAACAAAATTGGCGACATATAATTTAAATTAACCATACAATGGTACCCTTGAAACCTTGATTCATCTATAATTGCACATTTTTTTAAAATACAATTAAGATCAAGAAATTTTGAAAATTATAAACTTTTTCCGACAGAAAAACAAAACTATCAGAGGTTTCTAGGGTACCGTTGTGAATTGCGAGTTACGTAAAATTACGTAAACAGGCTCTTTAATATCGCATTGAAATCTCCTTTTTTATTATTGTACTTGATAATTCTCCTTTTTGTGTGTAAAAAGAAAGAAAGAAAGAAAATGGATCGGATTGGATGTATTTCATAACAAATTCTATTTTCCACAAATTGATTGAATTTTAGAAAATGCCAAAAAGAATTTAGAAACATTTTGTAAAGATAAACAAGGTGAAGAAGTGTAAGACGGTGTATAAGCCAATTTTTTTAGAAATGACAAAAATGTAAAATTAAAAATTGAAAAAATTATCCATACATGGCAGAACTTTTCAAAGATTATTAATTTGTTAGTTTAAAGGATATTTAGAACAACATGGGTGTGGGGTAAAAATACTTCAAAAGTCTCTCATATTATTTGTTAATCTATCTATCTAACTAAACTAACTAAAATCTGCGGTACATTAAATATATTTTACAAGTTTGGTACAATTTTGACATATTCATTGAAAATAATGAATAATAATCATAAATAATTATTTAATAATACGAATTAAATATAATAATCACACGGATTATGGACTTTTGTAAATTTTGGTTTCATGGCAAAATTTTCAAAAAAAAGGGTCTTTAATGCCACAAGTTAAATTCTTTAAATTCGTTTTCTGAAGTCTTTTGGTTTGCTCGGAAAGGACACAACTAAAAATATCTAAATTTGAATAATTGCTAGGTTTTACAATGTTCTGGAAAAATGGGTAAAAAATATAGTTCGTAAAAAACTTTGGTAAAAAAGTCTAAATATTACTAGAAATTGTCTTCTATAAATGTCTAGAACTAATACTTATTGCTTCGTACATGTTGGGCACTTGACGGAAATCTGTGCCGACTGAAGAGAAAATTCTGATAAATTCGAATATAAGTGATTTCCGGTGAAACCAGGGAGAAAATTGCCAATTTATAAAATTTATAAAATTTGCCAATTTTGAATTTTTTCTTCCGGCAACAAAATTTTATTTTCAGTCGGCCCAGGTAGTTACTAATACTAGGTTTACACTAGAGAATGCGTCTAAACTGTCTTTCCGGTTCCAGAAAATGCTTTTTTGGCAAGATGAGATAGGGATGGGAATTATATTACTTTAACAACACATTTTCTCATTCTTTTTAAACATACAAGTTAACATATATCAGATACTTATTGCTAGATGCATAGAAGAGAGGGATTCATGGAAATACATTTTAAACAATATTTGAACAAGCAACATCTTTAACATTGGCCTGATGCTTAGTTCAAAAAGAAAGTGAATAATTGTCTTAAACTCTCATTACTGACAACTCTACCTTTCCAATCTTAGATATTTCAATTTTTTGCTCAGTGACTGAATTCACAGAATGAAATATACCAGGTTACAAAGATATGACAACAAGAAAAAATGAGTTTGAGGCAATTGGTCAGTTCCTTTACAATTACTTATTTTTCTAAACATCGTTGGCGTACATTCAAAAAACTAACATTAAGTTGAGTCGACATTTTTTCTAACATTTGGATGGAGATGAAGCTAAAAAACTGATATGCAAAATGTTTGCACTGCTGTTTAGCTTCCAGGTTCCAATTGTATAAGACTAGATAAATTTGGAGGATTCTAGTGATATGTTTCTAGTAATATATTCTAATTTGTCTACTATTTGAAAAAAGGCTATTTTTTTCTTGGAATAAATGCTTGAAAGCTTTTTAGGGCAAATTTGCCCTAGTTTAAATTAAAACACATCTTTGGTCTACGATGAAGTTCTAAACTAAATTTCTAGATAAACATTTTTGCTGGTTTGTCTTCTCGTAACAATAAATTACAGGATCGGTAAAAACAACATTATAAAGACATACTTTTGTTGTCAAATTCTTAATAAATACAGGAATTAATGTTATATACTTGGGTTCAATAATATCGCACAACAAGGGAAGAAAAATGTTCATATCAAAAGAGAATACTAATTCAGTTTAAAATTTGTATTTGAAGAAAATAGTTCCGTTGGATTTATTGCTAATATTGGCAATGTAATGATAGAGCGACGGGAGACAACCACAATGCTTGTGGAGTTGGAGTCAGACGCATTTATATTGTTTTAAAGACCTGTAAACCTAATTTCAAATGACCCTCAATCAGTGGTTTTGAAAGCTTTGTCTGATCAAGTCAGTTCTTCCAAAATTTGTATCAGATTAAAGTTCAAGGGTACTGTTGTAAATCGGGCATTGTCATCTTTGCCTATAAGCCTAGGGTCACTTGAAATTACGCTTAAGTCCTTTTAATTAAAGATACATCCGCCATCGCAATGTTAAAACTTTGCACTGAACGATTTCCTCATTGTGTAGATACTAATAGTTTGTTCCGAAATTAATATTTGATCAAGTTTGTGAGCGTATGTAAAACTTCAAACTGTATTTAATATTCTCTTTGTTAGTTTACAAGGGTATAAGATTCTGCATAGTCTAGTGGCCGGGTCACAGCACAAAAATCGATGGGATCAGTTGGATATAGATAAATATAGTTACATAGAACTTTGTTTATTGAAAACCTGGGTTTTGGGATATTTACAACTCCAATTAGTTCCAAAGCTGAGCCAATTATTCGAAGGACCAATTCTTTGGGGTTTAAGATCAGTTCTGGATTTTTGTGAGTTTGCCTGGAGGGTGTAATCCACCAAAATAAGTTTATCATGAGCATGAGCAAAGATGGTAATGTTTTGGAAGATAACCCTTGTCCAGATAAAATTCACATAAAAAAGGTTTTTTTTTGAGTCTTACAGGGTCCTGCTGTCCTTGTAGTCTCCTTTTAGAGTCCTACAGGGACCTGGTATCCTTGTAGTCCTTGTAAACCTTGAAGTCCCTGGATGTTAAGCAGGTCGGATACATTGTATCCAAGTCCTGGCTGAAACTGACCCAAACCGGTTGGACCGGCTTGAAGCTGGCTCAGCTGGGCGTGGCTAGGGAAGGAGAAAGAACCGGTTTTACAACCTAGATTCAGCTGACCAGCCAACAGCTGATTCAGACTGATCTGTGCATGGGGATTTTCCAAGCCAAAGAGTTGCAATTGAGACAAATTGTGAAGGGAACCGTTAGTTCCTGAAAGTGACACCAGAGGCGCTGGGCTTGGGTTTGAAAAAGTCAGCTGTGGCTGCGACATGGCCACCATTGCAGTGTTAGTAGAAGGTACACTGTAAGGGGAATATCTAAGGGTTTGCAGTACACCAGACCCTGGGGAAACCATGAGTAACTCACCAAGACCCCGGGCAGCAGTTCGACCCTTGGCTAGGTTGGCTGGTAGCATTACTTCTTTAGGCTGAGCTTTCTTACATTCAACCTAGAATAAAAAGGTTCTCTGGAGATCAAATTTTCCTTTAGAGCTTAGAGATTTAAATGTATGTTTAATTTTTCTGTCTGTTTGTTGATTTTTTGTATCTCATAAGCGTCAGAATGGTTATACCGACCCACTGCACACTGAGTTTATTTTAAGTACATAGTCCAATATTTAAGTAGAGGAAGCTGTATACTGTACGCACATATGATAGTACACAAAATGAACCATCCACTTCTACTAAAATTTATAATCCACCATTAAAAAAATTATGTTTAATATTCTACAGTCATTTTTGCAATTGGTTTTAAAATCAATTCAAATTGTAAATTGGTTCGCCTCTTAGAAATACAGAGCTTTCACAAAGTTTTCTAAGTATACAGTTCTCTTCAAATGGTATTCCTAAGTTGGCTTGATCTGAAAATTTGAATAAATAAACATCCCAACTAGGGTTGCAATTAAATTCCGGGAAAATTCCATTTTGGAAATGTAATGATCTGGAAAAAATGTCCGTCAACTGGAATTCCGGGTTAATTTTAGATTAAATGGAAACCGGAAATTTTCCAGATTACAGAATGGATACTGAACAAATTCCGACTGCCGAAATGTTAAACAAAATTCCGGATAATCTCAGGTTCACATGAGATATTTGTTCCAGAAACGGTCTGAACTTCCAGAATTCCAGAACCTATTCCTTCAGGGAAATAACCAAAAAATCCGGATTATTTCCGAAAGTGAACCCCGGAATTACGGTGCATCTCTTAATCCCAACAACTGTTTGAAATTTCCTCCAAGTTTGAAGATTACTGAAGAGAAAGCAACCGCATGACAAATATAGAAACACCACACATTTAAAGGGACTGTCAACATAATTTAAAGAAAATAAGATCGCTGAAGTAAAGTTGATTAATTCCAAAAATGAATGCTTGGCATGTAAATCAAATAATTTATAATTTAAATATTCTTAAAAGTGTTTGGCTGAGAATAAAAGTCAAATTATTTTATTTATTTGAATCAAAATAAAGGGAAAGGAAAGGTAAAGAAATGCATTTTTGCCAATTAGAATTTGGCAAAGTTTGTTCCAAATCTTTTCTAAGCTCTTCTCAAATACTTCCAATATATTTTCATATTGCTTCAAACTTTTCTAGAAATCTTTCTTAATATTTTTCTTTCTTTTTTCACTCTGGTTTTTTTTTGAGTTGTATTAATATATCTTGAAGATCAAACATGTTTCTAAATTACTAATTTATATTTGCATTCAGTATTTTTGGTTCATTTCAAATATGTAGCTATTTATTATTTTTTTTAACTTTTTGCTATTTATTTCTTCTGAATTTGTGTTCATTTATCTTTTCAATTTTAATACTTTTAGATTTAAACTTTAAAATCGTTAACAAATTTTCTCAGATTTTCTGTTAAAAATTGAGGCATTTTCAAAAAACATTATCAACATTTTTTCTGTCAAAACGTGTCTTCGACTTGTTATTAACCTTCCATGGGGTCACGTGAGATCCCACAAAAATTTGGGCTCGATCGGTTCAGCCATTTTGATGTTTGAATATTATACATGTTTTGGTGTTATCTCATGTCTGTGTTTAACCCACAGCTTATAGTTTGTGTATATTTGAATACATTTGCAATTATAACCACCAGCATACAGTAGAACTAGAATACAAAAGGATTAAAGAAGTATTTAACTTAACTAATCAAAAATACAAAAAATGTGTATGTAATCTTTAATATCCTGTTCAAAATTTTAACCAAAGAGAATAGAATCCCTCGGTATGAATTTGTTCAGTCCCTTTCAGCCTGATAGAGAGTTTAAAGTATACACATCATGTAAATGTTCACAAATTATATGCAGTAGAGTACATTAATACAGTATGTGCCCTAAACTATCCATTTCAATTTGGAATTTTTAAAGCTGTTAAATAAACTTTATAAAATGAATTAGGTGAATAAAAAACATCATTTTATTTGTAGTTATAACGAAAAATCATCGTTTGTAAAGTAAAAGGCATAGAGTCTATGTGAAATGATCATTGGTCAATCATGAAACCAGCCTTTTTCATAATTTGGTTTTCTTTTAATATTAATTTTAGATTTTCTATAAAATGATGTTCCAGGGCCCAAAAGGTTATATAGCATAAATATGTGAAGTACACCTGCAGTATGGAAACAGTACAACAAAATGGCCGTTTTACACTTTTTTCTAGTAAATTCCCCTCTAATATATACTCTATTCTCTTTGTGTTTAACAAAATGTTTGCCATGCTTTACATATTTCGATATTACGAACAAAACATATTATAACTTATTTATAACAACAAGGCTTTTAGGGCGAACTATTTCAACTTAGTTGTAGGGCTTTATCTGCCAGAATCTTCTCTTTCTACAATATAACAAAAAAAAGTTTGCGGATTTAATAATTTTTTTGCGTATTTTCAAAACTAAAAAAACTAAAAAAAAATTTGGACACAATTTTGAGCATCCAAAAACGTCTCACACAAAAGTTGCGCCAGATTAGTTTAGCCGTTTTAACGTTTATATTGGAAACAAACGGACAAATAGACAGACAAGCAAACTATATATTTATTTATAAATATAATATAAATATAAATTATATAAATTATAAATATATTATATTGATAAAAGATGACTTACCATCTTATTGTTTATCTCGTGGAAGTGGATCTCGCAGACCTTGTCAACGACGTCCTCGTTCTCGTAAATGACGAACCCGAACCCCCGGTGACGATTGGTCTGTTTATCAAACATCAGGAGCACATCTTCAATCTAGGGGGAAAATAATTTGTTGCCACTTCATTACTTAATTATTACTATTCTTAATAGGAGTCGTAGCTTACTATTAACCATAGTTACTTTGTTTACTATTATTATTATTATTAGAAGTAGTAGTAGTAGTAGTAGTAGTAGTATTAGTAGTAATTTCATGGTATTCTAGCAACAATGAAAAAATCATTTCCTATATCAAAATATATTGTTATTTTTTAATTATTGCGATTGAAGTGATAAAAAATTGTTTATTTTCAATTTGCCAATGTTTACACATCAAGACACTATGTACACTGTACATGTACAAGGTAGAATTAGACTTTCATAAAAAGTTCCATTTTAGAAATATTTAGGCAAAGTTCTTACAATATTAAAAGGAACTGAGTTTTTGCCACAAATTCTGATTTTTTAATCCTTATATCTATGCAACTCAATGTTGTAAACATTAGATATTCCTAACCATGAATTTGGTCTAAGTTTGAAATATTTATTCCCCAAAAAATCGATAAAAAATGGCCCATTTACCTTTGCAAAATCACAGGACCTCCTTTCCTTTGGTAAATACACAAACCCTCTTTCTCTTGTAAAATTAATCAGACTTCTCTTTTTCTTTTGTGAGATGGATGGACTTGTTCCCCTTGTTTTAAAATATGGCAAATACTTGAGCACCTATCTATTTATCTATATTTATATTTATATCTATCTATCTATTTATCTATCTATATTTATATTTCTATCTATCTATCTATTTATCTATATTTATATTTATATCTATCTATCTATTTATCTATCTATATTAATGATCATCGTTACATTGCCCCCTTTTTACTTTTCTATTATTTTGAATATAATAGTGTGTTTTTTTCCCTAAACATCATTCAAAACCTATTCACACAAATAAGGAAAGAAATTGCAGTTAAAAGAACTGGCTTAATTAAGATAATTGAAGTGCCGGACCGAGTTTTAGGCAACCAAAACAAGTTGTACATTACACATGACAAAAAAGGGACAGTACATCAAATGAACCATCCCCTTCTAGGAAGATTAAAGTGGTTTTACACTTTTGCTTTATCTCTGTTAATTATAATCAAGAGTTTAAGGTGTAGATAGAGAGATACGGATTTAAGATTTTAGGTACTTTCACAAAAGCATTTAACCCAGCGACACCTTCCCAAGGGTATTTTTCCCAAGTGGCAACTTCCCAACTTCCCACAGTGCTCTTCACCTTAGCATGTTCTAGCCGCAGCGTTCGGTCCCTATTGGAGCCTGTGGCCCCTTAGAAGACCTAACCTAACCTTTGAGAAGTTACTGCTTGGAAAATAGCATTTTTTGAAAAGTTGCCACTTGGTCGAACTTGTCAATCTGAAAGTCACCCTTGGGAAAATACCTAGGATCTGATTTTAGGATAAAAATAGTAATCGATACAAAAAAAGCAAATTATATTTTTCAAAAATTGAAAAAAAATTGTATAAAACGAAATATTCACCTTCCCAAACTGTTCAAAGTATCCTTTAACGTCTTCTACAGTTGATGTGGCTGAGAGACCACCAACAAATATTTTTTTTGTTTTGGTCACCATCTGAACAAACAAATATATTACCATCTGAACAAACAAATATATTACCATCTGAACAAACATATATCTAAACATTTTTTGTCATTTACCATCATTTCAAATTATCAATTATGAATAATATTATGATTATTATTATTATTATTAGAGATGAAGAGGTACACTTATTTTAATTATTATATATTGATTATATCAAACAGAGAGAACAAGAATACTCAGGAATAAAAAGACGACTTTTACTTTCCACAGTTTTCTGGTTATCACTTTAGGGTATTCTATTTATTTAACAAACTTCTATCTTTCAAGTTTTAATTATATGTATCAATCCTTCTAACTTCTCAATAACTATCTATCTATCTACATATCTATCTACATGTCTATCTATCTATCTATCTATCAATCTATCTAGCTATTCTTCTATCTATCTATCTATCTATCTATCAATCCTTTATCTATCAGTTTGATTTTTCCAATTTCTCCCCTTTTATTTTCTCTAGCTGGTCTCTAGCAGAAGATTTACACACTCTCAGAATTCCATCCACTACAATTATTTTTTCTTCGAACTAATATTACGTATCTATTTAATTTTTCCGTGTTAGCAATTAAATTTTTTAATTATTAGCTTTAAATTTAAACATTTAAACAACAACAACAATAACAACAAGGATGGCAACAACAATAACAACAACAACAAAAACAACAACAACAACAACAACAACAACAACAACAACAACAACAACAGCAACAGCAACAAAAAGAACAACAACTACAACAACAACACGACAACAATAACAACAACAACGATCTTTACCTTAGGATTGGCTCTTCTAGGAAATGCTACTTTTGGATCAATCTGGAAGAAATAATTATTTTATAATTTCAATTTTTTAAAGGAATTAAGTCACAAACTCTGATTTTCTAATCCAAATATCTTCAGAACACAATGTCGTGTACCTTAGATATTTTAAATTATAAATTCTGTTGAATCAAATAATATAAGTTTAAAATATATAATGTTTATACCATCATACCATGAGGTTGGAAAGAGTTTGTGGCAAAGACTCAATTCCTTTATGAAGATTTACGAAAGCATTTTATTTTCAGTCGGATGCTTATTTTAATATGTTATCCCTCTGCAGAGAAGAAAGATTTTTGACAGTGTTTTGACAAAGAAAAAAACGTCAGTCTTGTGAATGACGTGTTTTTGTAAATATTTCACATTGAAATAGTTGAATTTGTCAATTTTTGAACTTAGACTTATTAATATTTTCACTATTTACTATAAAAGTCAGGATATATCACAAACAAAGAATTCCAAATGATCTTGTTATCTGAGCCTGCATACCCAAATTTTTTTATTGAGCCGGAACTCACTTTAAATCAAAAAAGAAAAAATTCACAAATTCAGAATATTTTAGCAAAGACGACCTACCTTCTTTCCATCCAGAGTATGTGTACCATGTGCAAGTATTCTATCCACCCCTTCACATGTTGCAAATGTGACAAAACCGAATCCTCTGAAAACAATGTATGTTTCAAAATGAAAACTTAAAAATTGATGCAAACAAATTAATGTAAACATTAATACATTGATCCTGTGTAACAGTGATATCAAGTAGTTCCATTCAAAGATGGATTTGCAATGGTGCCCTTAAAAGCTTGGGTTGATCAAGTATCATTATCTTCGATTTTTGTTTATTTTCATTTGTGGTTTTTTTCCGAAAAGTGTCTTGCGCATTTCTTGCATTATCAGTCAAACATTTGTCGGGTCAGAAATAGGACATAATCATCAAGCTGACATAATTCTTGTGACAGTTATGAAGGGACATTCATATTGGCAATCGTAAAAGTAATGGGTCAAGCCATTCAATTTAGGGAGCAGTCCCTTAAAACATAGATTAAGTTTAGCAATTATATTGAAACTCTCTCAGGATGTCCGCAAAGTCCAATAATCCATTATTTGGCCCGCGCTTTATATTTGAACCCAATCCTTATCATTACACAGTCATCCATTAGGATTAATGTACATTCCTTTCTTTAACCTTAATTGCCTCTTTCATCAATCCCCTTCATTAGGTGGGAATGTAAACCTTTTTTTGGACCATTAGGTTTTATTTGTCAGCCAAAAAGGAAAAAATCTGGGCTGTAAACGAGCATTTTCTCATTATATGCAAATTATACATCAAACAAGAAGGGGGGTAGGTGTTGAGAAGAGGGGGGGGGGAAGAAAGTTCATCTTTGCATTCTCCTTTGACGTCAACGCACATATTCAAGGGCATTGAAAGAGTTAGAAACTTTAAAAAAAAATTATTCATCAAAAACTTCTTTATCTTTTTCTTTAAATCAATTTGAGAAAAAAATTCATCAATATTTTTGCTCGTTTTTCTCACTCTAATAAAAATGTTTTAGAAAAAAATATTTTTTAGTTTCAATTTTTTTTAGTTAACTCGTTTTAGGTCTGGAATTATAATCAAGAGAATTCAATATTCTGGGCGAAAGAATTATCCTAAAAACTACGTATGAATATATATAAATACTAGCTTAATAACCCAGCGCTGCCCAGGTTTTTCATAGTTACTCCCGCCGTTTACCCACCCTTAGTAAATCGGTAGTAAATTACGATTTTAGCTATTTTCCCACTCAACCTAGAATCTCGAAATCAAGCTAAGAACATTCCAACATAGATTCAGCCTGCTTATCAAAAGTCTCATTAATTTTTAAGACAGGGTCGACTTTGAAGTGTCGCAACGCCTTGGACTTTGATTTTACCGCTCTAACTTACTCATTCTTTTCTGTAGCGCTTTACTTGTACATTTTAGCACTATAAATCACTTAATGATAAGTTTGAAGGAGTAATTTGCAAAATTCTTATTAATTTTAGCCTAAGAGCATTAAATCACTGTGTTCCCGAGGCTCTCCGAGTTCCCCAATCAAAGTTTGAGGCAAAACGTTCGAGGGGTTCCTGAGTTATGATCGGACAACCAGAGATTACAACTTTATATATATAAGTGTCTGCATATAAATAAATATCTACTAATCTATATATATATATATATATATATATAGATTTCAATATCTGATAAAAAGAAAAAATGATTTTCAAAATTAAAGTTTTAAAAAATCAGAAGGATCAGATGTCTCATATGACTAGCCCCCCCCCCCCAGACTCTATCTGTAACCATCTCATTAATTATAGAAAATGTATTAATCTTACAATGTGTCCCCAGGGAGGAAAATAACCTAAAGATGTCACTTGGTGAAACCACCGGAAAGTATATAATAAAAAATTAAACAAAAACTTGAATAATTTTCTGATGGAAATAAATATTTTTATGAAACTATTGTGTACTTTATCATTCTTCCTCACTTCATCGTGAATTTTATAATGAAGTAATCATCGTGCTATAATGTAAAATTAACTGTATATCATAGCACCGTGCTATAAAGTTTTGATATGTTCCCGGATTTTCTCCAAAAGAATTAGGATATTTCCAAAAAAAAAAATTCAATTGAAATAAAAATAAAATTGAAATCAACTTTATATTTTGACTTCTGCTTTGTTTCAAAGCTAATTTGATCTGGAAATAAGACAAGTACACAAACGTTTCATAAAATTACACTGTTATTTTGGCACGACATACTATAAAGTTTTTGGACCTAAATTTTCTCTTTATCGAGAAGATTCCAGCCAAAAGGCGAGAACACTGCGAACCAAAATAATAGTATTATTATAAATAGTTTTCAATACAATTTAATACAATTAAAACCACCAATTATAAACTTTATTGTTACCCCTCATCTAATTAAAAATGTGGAATATTTTTTTCATTTTTTTATCGTCATTTTGAATACTTTCTTTTTCCGTTTCACAAATACGCAAGTAGAACTTTGATAACTACATTTAAATTATCAATTTTCGGATAGAAAAAATATGAATATCTCGTCTTCTATTCTACACAGATTTAAAGGGTGAATGCTAGCTCTACACATGGAAGGGTCACTTTAAGTTATACTATTTTTATTTTAAATTGTTTTGTTTTATTTTATTCAAAGGAATATCTAGAAATATTTGTTTTTAAGTATGAAGTTATATAATGGCTGCTAGTTAGGGAATAAAAGGGAACTAAGTATCCTTTGCCAAAATCGTTAATTAGAAATGTTGGATGGAAAGATAGATAGATAGATTGACAGATAGTTAGATACATATATAGATAGTTAGATAGATAAATAGATAGATAGATAGATAAATAGATAGATAGATAGATAGATAGATAGATAGATAGATAGATAGATAGATAGATAGATAGATAGATAGATAGATAGATAGATAGATAGATAGATAGATAGATAGATAGATAGATAGATAGATAGATAGATAGATAGATAGATAGATAGATAGATAGATAGATAGATAGATAGATAGATAGATAGATAGATAGATAGATAGATAGATAGATAGATAGATAGATAGATAGATAGATAGATAGATAGATAGATAGATAGATAGATAGATAGATAGATAGATAGATAGATAGATAGATAGATAGATAGATAGATAGATAGATAGATAGATAGATAGATAGATAGATAGATAGATAGATAGATAGATAGATAGATAGATAGATAGATAGATAGATAGATAGATAGATAGATAGATAGATAGATAGATAGATAGATAGATAGATAGATAGATAGATAGATAGATAGATAGATAGATAGATAGATAGATAGATAGATAGATAGATAGATAGATAGATAGATAGATAGATAGATAGATAGATAGATAGATAGATAGATAGATAGATAGATAGATAGATAGATAGATAGATAGATAGATAGATAGATAGATAGATAGATAGATAGATAGATAGATAGATAGATAGATAGATAGATAGATAGATAGATAGATAGATNATATCTATATATGCATATTTATATCTATATCTGTAAACTTGTTCAAGACTTTTACTTTCATATCTGCAGTTAGCAACCCCTTCCATTTAATACATCGTACATCTTCCAGATATACCTATTTATCTACTTTCTTTCTATCTATCTATCTAGTTATCTGTCTATCTGTCTATCTATCTATCTATCTATCTATCTATCTATCTATCTATCCTCAGTGGAAAGCAATATTTTGTAACACGACAAAAATATTTTACAACAAATATTTCCTTAAATAGCTCGTTGAACATAATTAATACATTTAAAAATGCGAAGTAGAGAGAAGCAAACATAATACAAAACAAGAATTTTTGTAAAATTAGCTTGGGAACCCAGCTTGGTCTGATATTTTATATTTAAAAAAGTCCAGTAGAGGATTAAATCTTTGAAAGAGAATTATAAAATCCGCAAATGAGTTGCGTTGGATTCTGGACCTGCAGAAAAAACCCTTCCTCTCCTTTTATACACTCGTTTTTATCATGTATTTACATCTAGAAGCAATAACATGTACTCTTACTCAATACACAGAACATTTCCGGGGTTCTACCGATTTTAAGGCAAATCGGCTAAAGGGTTCTTGATAACAAACAGACAAGCAAACAGAGATTACTACTTTATATGTAAAGACAATGATGCACCAGTTAAGACTAAAAATGTGAATTTTAAGAGAAAAAAAGGAATTAAAGATGGGATATATATTACAAAAACTGTATTAAAAACGAGTTAAAAGAAATTTGGATGATTTATAAAATTTATAAAATTCTAATTGAAATTAAGGATGAAAGCAAAAATCAAAAAACTTAATTTTTAAAGTATTTGACTTTTGAGTTTTTAACATTTGAACTCTGTATTGATAAATAATTATTTCCGAAGATTACTCTTGAAGCCGTTAAAGTAATTTTGTATCAAACTCTTTTTAATAGTTTGTAAATACGCCAATTACTTTATTTATAAATATTTTAAATGAGAGTGAAATTTTAAAAAACAACTAAAAAACATTAAAGAAAGTTTTAATGCAGAAAAATGACTAATTTAAAAAAAATGTTTTAGTTTGCTTTCTTAAGAATATACTGCAGCTAGTCCATCATATGTTAACGTCACCCCCTCCCCCTCCCCCTTTGAACCCCCTGCAGACCCCCACTCCATGCAGGGGCTTAGAGTTGCTTTCTATGAAATATTACGAGGAAATTTTGACAAGGTTTTGACTATATCCAGGTTGTAACCGGGCCAATCTATCTATAAATCCACACATGTTCAAGGCAACTTAAAAAAATGAAAAAAAGAAAAACCTTTCTCAGCAGTAATTGGGATACATTCGTAAAAAAAATTAAATCCACATTCTAGGATAAATATTAAATAGATCAAAAAAGTAAAGGATGGAAAAAGTGGAATGATATAGAAATTGATGGATCAGGATAAATAAAAAAATTGAAAGAAAATGATGAATATTGATAAAAATGATGAATATATTGCTGAATGAATGGATTGATGAATATATTGCTCACTGAATGTATTGATAAATATATTGCTCAATGAATGGATTGATAAATATATTGCTCAATGAATGGATTGATAAATATATTGCTCAATAAAAGGATTGATGAATTTATTGCTCTATTAATAGATTAATCAATATATTGCTCAATAAAT